GAAGTTTAAATTCGCAGGCCTGTGTAATTAACAGTTCCTACAATCATAGCTTACTTGAGAACTTTTTTTCTAGGCTTCTAAGCCCCTTATGGAAAAGCGAAGACGAGCCCGGATTAACAAGAGCTTAACCGAGTTGAAATCCTTAATCTTAGATGCTGCAAAAAAGGAGCCCCAGGTCAGTATTGCACTGGTTGAGAGAAGAGAATAAACAAGTGTATATATATATATACTTGAAGAGGATTACGTGTATAATTAGTATTTTCAAGTTTGGGCTTACACGAGATTTGAAACCAAAACTTTTAGTTTTAATTAAGTGCTCATTCTTCGAATATTGTTCGTGGTTATCTTTTTTTAGTTCTTTAAGTGGTACCTAGTGTTCGTAGAATGGTTTATTACAAGTGTTTTGCAAGAGCCAACGATAAAAAAAAAAACATCATATATTTTAATTTTATTTTGGTTTCGGTTTATTATTTGTTGTTGCTTTGTTTGAGAGCAAAACCACTTTGGGCTATCTGCTGCGGGGAATCGAACTCCGCATTTTAGCGTTGTAAGTCGGTAGATTTACCACTGTACCATTGGGTGAGATTTATTATTGGGATCGGAGGCATTTACGTCATCAAAAGGTAAAGATTTACCATTGGTAGCGGAGGTTAGAGCGGTTCAGGGGACATTTTTACAATTAATGACAATTTGGGCCTATTTTGTGATACAGTGTGTGTGTGGGGGGGGGGAGTCAAGATGTGATGGAAATAAGGTAAAAAGTAAATAAATAAACGAAATTAACGTAAAAAAATAGACAGTTTAGTGGCGAACTTACTTTTAATTTGTTTATCTCAGATTTTCGACCCTTTATCGGCAGCTATAAGATTCTTTATGATAACTATCTGTTTATAACAACCAGTCATAATTTTGGACCAAAAACGCAACTGAGGTTACTGAAAGTATTTTTGGGTGTGAAGAACTTCCACGAGAGGGTGTTTGAAAATCCGGCGGAGAAACCCCGGAAGTTTTATACTTGACAATTTTTACGTGCATGGATGTTCTTCCTAGACAGTCTACGTATGTGACACGTGCCTCTTATGACTAGCTAGCTACGTACACAGGAAGCTTACTTTTGGAGGCTTATAGTCTTTTTCTGATTGAAGGTTTCCACTGTAGTGTACAGCACGTGTATGCGCGCGAGTTTCAGCTTCAGCCTTTTGGAGCACGTGCCACAGCCTCCGGGTTCGATCTTGTATAGAACGCAACCCCAGTTTAAAGAACATGTGGAGAACGAGGGTTTTTTTTTTTAATGTAATGAAATATCGCGTAAGCAGGTGAGCTTAACGGTATGACTGTAAAGCGCCCGATCTGAGGCTGGCCGCAGGTGGTGCTATCGTACCACCGTCCATACTCACGGTTTTCACTTGTGTTCTTAATGACAGCCTGAGGCTTTTAAAGTGGACTTAAGATATAGAGATTTCTATAGTTAAGCCTAATGAAATAGTCCTTTTAAAGATAAGCTTAAGCATTCCAGCTTGTAAATTCAGAGCACTTAGATCTTTGTGATTATATTGTGGACGAACTTTTTTTTTTTCGCTTTAAAAAAAAGAACAACAACGCTGAACTAATTGACACTGTAATTCTTGTATATAACAGTACCAAGTACTTGGGGGTTCTAAAGCAATTGTGTTGCTGTTCAAAAGTAAATAGTAGATAAAGAAAAAAAAATCGGTTTATTGCCACTAATATTTACTCGGGAACACAAAGCACTGAAGGAATCACAAGAGTTAAGCCGTAATTTCCGGTTCCATAAGTAAATTCTAAGTACTTCAACACCGTTTTAATGATAGAAAGAGACGAAATCCCGTACCGGTTTCTGAGTTTCTGTTGAAATGTTTCTTCTTTACAATGTGGAGTTTGACGGCCAAATCCTTTTCCGATTCTGTAAGTCAAGAACAAACATCGCACATAAATATGTTCATGGAGACCTGTAATTACAACCAAACCTCGTGAGATGTTATTGGGATTACGGCCGAAAATGTGGATAACAGTGAGGGTATCCAACTGATGAATCAATGTATTGAAGTTGTTATAACTTATTTATTGGCACTGCCTGCTCCTAATTATACCGGTATACAAGACCACTCGCATTATATACTGAGTCAAAATGTATTTCTGATCTATGTAGGAAGCTAGCTGGCTTGGGGCAATAGGTCAGAAGTTGTTTGTAAATGTTATTATGCACAATAACTATATTTATACGTACGGTTAGATCTCCCAGTGGGACAGCAGTAACTTTACGAACTTATAATGCTAGAATCCGGGGTTCGATTGGTGGACACGGTAGATAGCCCAATGTGGCTTTGCTATAAAACAAACAAATGTACGGTTATTTTGAATCGACGGACGTGATATGAGTGGTAAGAGATTTATAGAACAAAGAAGTTGTTATAAGTTAAAGATATGTCGCCAGTTCTGTGTTTTTTCTGGACTGGATGTTTCTAATAAAAGTAGTATCGGTATGTTCTCTAACTCCACGATCGACAACAAAAACAAAAGTTCCAAATAAACTCCGCATCTTACAAATATGGATCTATTAGTTGTTAGATTGTTTTAACTTCTCTGAACCAATCGGTAATTTACATATGACTTTTGTCACGTTGTGCGAGCTCGTGCGATGCGCTGATTCATTGTTAACTTTTCGATAATAAACCAGCCTTTTTTTCCGTAGATTTCGTTGGAACTTAGCCAATAATTTTAAAAAGGTGGGACCTTATTCGAGGACTGATGGCATTCAGCTAAATCTGTGTAGAAATTGAAAGAAGCTACGATTTCACTTTGAGCCTTCTGTTCAATGTAGTGTCTTTCGAATGAATTTTGGAATGTTCCAGGTCTTCTAAAACTGGGTCATACATTTCCTAGTGAGTGAACCAATAAGCCCGAGTGTCAGTCGGTAGAGAGTTGGGTGTGGCCTAGTGGTTAGCAAGATGAATTGTTCGCGTTCCGTTGTCGCAAGATCGTGCTTCGCAGTCTTGGGACTGTGGTATAGAAGAGACGATCGGATCCCACCATTCAGTCCGACAATAGTTACCTCAACAGTTGGCGGCGGGTGTTATTTAATAGCTACCTTTCCCCTAGTCCGTTCGTGTCTGAGATCGTACTATCCGTTTATTAAAATATATATTATTGGTGGATCACTTGGTTCTTCAGAATTTGAAGTCATATTCGGACGACTTAATTTGGATGTACGTTGTCATGGTTTTTAGCCTATACCATCACCCGAATTATCACTTAGCTACCGTTTTTTTTTTTTTTTAACCACTAGATATTAGCTACTTATTAGTATACTGTAAAGAAGCAGCTTTAATTTGGTATACAATACAAATTAAGGTCCAGTCTCAACATTAGGGGCTCCAAGCTAGTGGTGTGAACTCGAAATATATTCATACAAGGCATTGCAAAATCCTGTATCAACAGAACCGACCACTTAGAGACTCTAGCGATCGTATGGATTAGAAACCATGACAACGGTTGATGAGTAACCGTCACAACCTTTACTACAAAACTATTGGTCGGTATTCAGATGAGTCTGCCTACGAAACAGTTACATGAAATGAAAAACAAAAAAACAACGGATATCAGGTTTACCTCACACAGAAAGGAAAGGTTACTCCCGCTTTCACAAACCTATAGTTCTTCCAGGTGCTAGTTCACGTGGTAGCCTTCAGGTTTCTAATCCAGGACATGTCGAGCGCGCGGAATCTCGTCATTGTCCAATTAGACTGTTAGACGCTACTTGTAAAGGAGGTCGCGATGCACGTGAAGAGCGTGATTCTATGTGTGTGTAGGCAAAAGGAACCTTAAAAGAAAGGAAAAAAAAATGTTGGAAGCGAGTTTCTAACAATATGTTCGCTGACCCCTTAACATTTTTATCATTGTTAGATTTAATGTGAATGGTTGCACCAATTATTACGTTAAGATAATAAATAACACACAACGTTACCACGGATACATAATTAAAAACATTTTAAATTCAGACCAATCACAGGCCGTCATCAGGAGTCGAAACGTGTCGTCAAGTTATTGGAGGCCATAGATTGGCTTTTACTTTTAAAATGTCTTTATTTGTGTATCAATTTTAACGTTGTGTTTTATTTATTATTTTATCGTTATACACGTGTGTGTGTATAAAATTTGGTTACTAAATATTTTTATGTGACTCAAAAAAAGATATTGAGAGAATCAATTTAACACACACTTGTTATTCAAGACTCATAACGTAGATAAATTAATATGTAGAATTATACACGGACTTTTTTTTCTCTACGTTAAAATATCTTTATTTGCGAGCTTTCGGCCCTCTTATCGGAGCTTTCACTGGGCAACAATGAACTGAGCGATAAAAAATTCGTTAAACTGTGGAACACTGCTTTAAAATAGGTATCTAGGCGACAGTCGTAACAATAACTGACACTCGGTATTAAAGTTACTAAACATAGAATTATGACGAGTATAGAACGTGAATCGATTGCTGTTGCCTAGATACATACCTAGATACCAAATGTCAGTTATTGTTACGACTGTTGCCTAGATACATACCTAGATACCAAATGTCAGTTATTGTTACGACTGTTGCCTAGATACATACCTAGATACCAAATGTCAGTTATTGTTACGACTGTTGCCTAGATACACACCTAGATACCAAATGTCAGTTATTGTTACGACTGTTGCCTAGATACATACCTAGATACCAAATGTCAGTTATTGTTACGACTGTTGCCTAGATACATACCTAGATACCAAATGTCAGTTATTGTTACGACTGTTGCCTAGATACCTATTTTAAAGCAATGTTCCACAGTAACGAATTTTTTATCGCTCAGTTCATTGTTGCCCGATGAAGGCTCCGGTAAGAGATCCCAAAGCTTGCAAATAAAAGTATTTTATCGTAGAGAAAAATCCGTGTATAATTCTACATATGAACCCACACTTGTTACAGCTCTTTATATAATTAATGATAACAATATTGTTGCCTGCACGTTGCTAGTGAGGATAGAGAATTCTAAACTTGATAGACACTTTTTTATGGGCTATGATAATTTGCTTTTTTTTTTTTAACGGGGAACAATCGCCCAATCTGACGTTTAAGGAACATATTTAACTATTTTGTTTTTGTTGGTCTACAGACTGGACGTCATTCTAAACTGGAGAAAGCGGATATTCTCGAACTCACGGTAAAACATCTCCAGACTCTACACAAACAGCAAATATCGAGTAAGTATGTTTAAAAAGAGCTTATTTTCCTTAGGCATATACGGTGATTTGTAGATCAGTACATATTTATCACTAGAATGTCGGTCTTAGTGTTTTCTGTCACGTGTGCTGTACTTAGTTTTAAGTTATTTACCAACTGCTTTACTTCTGCATACCCAAGAAATCTGTTCGCACAGAGCTGTTGGTGTTATTCTGGTAAAATCAAAACGTCTATTTGTACAGAGCTATTAGTGTTATTCTGGTAAAATCAAGACGTCTACTTGTACAGAGCTGTTGGTGTTATTCTGGTAAAATCAAGACGTCTACTTGTGCAGAGCTGTGATATTGGTGCTATTCTGGTAAAATCAAGAAGTCTACTTGTAGAGAGCTATTGGTGTTGTTCTGGTAAAATCAAGACGTCTATTTGTACAGAGCTGTTGGTGTTATTCTGGTAAAATCAAGAAGTCTACTTGTACAGAGCTGTTGGTGTTATTCTGGTAAAATCAAGAAGTCTACTTGTACAGAGCTGTTGGTGTTATTCTGGTAAACTCAAAACGTCTACTTGTACAGAGCTATTGGTGTTGTTCTGTTAAAATCAAGACGTCTACTTGTACAGAGCTATTGGTGTTGTTCTGGTAAAATCAAGAAGTCTACTTGTACAGAGCTGTGATATTGGTGCTATTCTGGTAAAATCAAGACGTCTACTTGTACAGAGCTGTTGGTGTTATTCTGGTAAAATCAAGAAGTCTACTTGTACAGAGCTGTTGGTGTTATTCTGGTAAAATCAAGAAGTCTACTTGTACAGAGCTGTGATATTGGTGCTATTCTGGTAAAATCAAGACGTTTGTTTGTACAGAGCTGTGCTATTGATGTTATTTGGGTATACCCATGATGTCTATTTGTACATAACAGTGGTATTGATGTTATTCTGGTATATTTAAGATGTCTATTTGTACATAACAGTGGTATTGATGTTATTTATCTTTATGTTTTCAGCATCGTATACCACAGATCCGTTGGCCATGGGGAAATTTCGAGCCGGCTATGCTGAGTGTGTGAAGGAGGTGAGCCGGTTTGTGACCAGACTAGAGGGCGTGGATTCAGTCCTGCGTTCGAGATTACTAAACCACATGTCAGGATGTCTCACAAAGTTTGACGACACTCCGTCCATCAACACTTCGGAGGAGAAAACGCCATCTGGTGACAACAAAGTACCACGTGCGACGACCCCCGAGACGCTTCCTGACAGCTCCACGTCCAGTCCGTCCATGGAAGTTGACATCTTTCACGGTGTAGCCATCCCACCGTCGATTCGAACCAGCTCGCCTAAAGCACGAAATACTGACTTCATACACTTTCCAGCCACGAGTAGTTCTGCTACTGGAGATTTTTCCTCCAACTTGACCAACGTCCAGCTGGCTCTAATTCTACCCGAGTCATCCATACCCACACACTCTTTGGCTCAACTTTATCCAAGCGGTCCTCTCAATCTCGTCACGAGCAACAAATCTGACAGCCAACTCAGTGTGTACTCGGCTCTTTCCACCAGAAGCACACCCTCAACACCAATCTCCAACATCAGTTCCGCCAGCAAAGGTTATAGTAGTGATTCAGAGGCTTCTCTGAGCAACGGATCACTTGCCAGTCCCAAAATGTCGAGTCTTTCTGTCGAATCAGTGTATCACGTCGCAAGGGTTGTTGGTGGGAGTGCCTGTAGTGTCATACAGATGGCGCCCAAATCACCGGAAGCTGTCTGGAGACCCTGGTGATTGTACGCGTTCCTTTCCCCAGAACAGATCTTAAGTTTTAGCAAATTTGCCAAAAAAAAAGTTATATATATATAACACACATTAACGTGCTGTACATATTTTTGGTGCCTTATATATATAGTTTTTTCTTTCTTTCCAGAAAGATCACTGTAGCTATAAAAACCACCGTAACAATAATTTTTGTTTTCTGAACGACTGACGTTTGTTGCTGCTGTTCATTACTCACAGCTGTATTGTTATAAGTAATAATTACAATTAAGTTACAGACTCACCACGTACGTTCCACCCTTGTTAGTTCTGTTGTGTCGGTTATAAAGAATTCACAGAAGTCGAGGCAAATGAATCTTGTACATTTGAAAGTTAACAGATTCTCTCGCCAGCAGAACATCTGCAATGATATACATGGTTTTATTTATCAGAAACTTTCTAACTCGTGTGCCTCTAGAAGTGATAGACTAAACGAAACATTTCTTCCAATCATTTAGAATGGCTGTGATTCTTTTGATATGGTTATAGGCTTGTTTTCCTGTTACTCAGGGGTCTCCAAACTACAGCCCGCCAACAGTTTTTTTTTAAAGTAATAATATAATTTTTAATATTATAAAAACAAAAAATAAAATAAAACGTAATTGAGCAAAGGCCA